GATCACTTAAAATAAGCAAGTCACCAAACATTTTTAAATCATTCATGACACTATTACTTTAAATAATTCTTAAATTTCAAAACACATTCACTATACAGTACAACACACTGCTTAGCAGTAAGATTAGTTTCCCTCTGATAACATACTTCATGTAGATTATTCATTGTAGGGCCCTGAAAAGTCATTCAAACTTAGGGTTAGGGAATACAAACTGAAAGCTAGAGAAGGAAGTTTAAACACAGCACACTTCAACTCTAAAGCTGCTTTTAGGGCTGGTTTCTGTAAAGAGAACTTGTAGAAGTCCTTATTTCAATTTGTTAATTTCTATTTCAACTCTGATATATAAACATGAATCATTTTTAACCAAGAGATTATATTTAGCATAAAATGCACCACAGGCTGTCTCTCAGATTTCTTAAGCATGTTTCTGTCAGACCTATTATAAAGAGGCAGGGAAATGAAGCAAATGATCCAAATAACTTTACTTTCTTTAGTAATTACAGATGTAGAATTAGTTTAAAATTGTGTATTTTTAAGTAGGACAAGTACCCTGAGAACCAGCAGGCATTATTCTTAAACTTTTTATCTCATAGGAAAACCTAAAGTTAGTAGGTATAAAATGATCAGCAAGTAATACAAATTCTCATCACTAATACAACCAAATTAACATTATGAAAGCAGCATAAAGAGTAGCTAGAAAGTGGAGGTTAGTTATTAAGGAAACAAAGAAGGGCAATAAATACAAAGAAGCAAAAACAGTTAAAGACAGAATGATCTACTAAACTGAAAATTTAAGTGAGTAAAAGTCCAGAATGACCTGATCAATCAAGTGAGGGTCTTTCAAGTACAACAGTGCCTCAAAAGCAGGTGATACAGTTTGATGGGCTCAAGGAAATGAAAAGCCAGTGTTCAAGAAACAATTACGAAAATAACTAGCTAGCAACTTTAATGCATAGGTCCAATTACCATATTCAAAAACATTAAAAACTGGTCAGTGATCTACTTTCTAATCTTAGTACAATGACAGAAAGTCCTCTGAAATTTAAGGTATTAGAAAATAACCAAATCTTGGAACAAAAATTTTCCTATGAACTTCCAACCAGAAAATACAAGTCTGGTATTATTAAAGACATCAAAAGCCTTATATTGGTACCATACTGAAATAATTTATCTAAAAGATGGTGAATAAATCACTGTTATGAAATGTGACTGCATGTGCTCTGTTGAATACTTGGGAGAATGTTTGTTTCATTAGATCATATAGGACAGTCAAACATTTTATATTAAAAAATAGCATTTTGCTATCTAAAATTTATTACTAACACATCTGTGGCCATCTGATGACATTCATTTATGTATGCTTTCAATGAATATGCACTTAATAGTAATGGAGAATTAAAGATTTTACAAGTTTATTATCAGGTCCCTGATTATTAGTCAGTCTGGAGAAGTTAAAGAATTTTGCCAAAATCAATGACCCACTGAACCTTTAAATTTTCTTTATTTTACCTTTAATATAGTGCGATCCTGGACTGAATTGATTTAAAACATACTTTGTCTAAGTTTTTGAAAAATGTCTTACTTGTGGGGGCATCCTGAGTGTGTTCCAAAGACTATTTGCACCATAATCATGTAAGCAGTTGGGCAATGGTTCTCACAGTAGGAGGAATTAAGACTCACCTGTATGCCTTGTTTAATCATGGGTGGTGGACCCACCCTGGTTTCTGATTTAGTTCTTTGGAGCAAGGGTGTTTCCAACAAGTTCCCAGCTGAGACTGATACTGCTTGTTGGGACCACTGTTTGACAACTACTGTGTAGTATCTGGTAAGAATGTGTAGTCCTGGGCCCAAGCTACAATTAGAATTCCTGGGGCTGAGGTCTTCATCTCTATTTAAAAACACTCCCAGGAAAGAGTATAAGAACCACAATTTAAGTATCAGTATGACAATTTGGCTGGTTAATTTGATTATTACTAGCCAATGTACATGTCACGTATCGTATACGTGAAAATGAGAATAATGCCAAATGACCCTGAGGCTGGCTGACAAAATACATAGGGTTTGAATATGAATCCTAGTTCTGTTATTTACTAGCTCTGTGACAGTGCAAAAGTTACTTTAATTCCCTGAGCCTCAGTTTCCTTATTTATAATATGAGAAAAGTGAAGATTAACACTCCTGTATACAGAATAAGCACAGTACCTGATATACAGTAGGCACTAAATATTATTTATCATTTAAGAAACATACAAAAATCTTTTGCTATCTGATTTGATCATTCTACTCATTTAAATATTTATGTTTCACAACAGAATAATAAAAACTCCCTATGCTGGCCTAGACAATGTTTTAAGAGTCTTATATATATTCATTTATTAATCCTCATAAAACTCCTATAAGGTAGTTAAGATTATTACCCTTACTTTATAGATGAGGAAATTGAGGCACAGAGAGACTAACTGCTCAAGGTTACAAAAATTTAAAACCCGGGCAGTCTGACTCTAAAGTCCAGGATTCATCACAGCATTCATTTCCTATGAGTCAATTTTAAGAGTTTTTTTTTAATGTTTATGATAAACTATTTACACTTCTAATAAAGAATAGCATCTATGGACCACAGATAAACTCATATATCCACAC